CTCACTGTTTCCCTTCTTAGTCAAAGGCCACCAGCACAGTCGTCCCTGCAACCCTTGGTGACCAGGGCTGATCTTTAGGTCAGTTCTCAGATCCCAACACCACTTGGAAATATTCAGGCTGTTGGTCCTGTCAGAGTAGCTGACAGTCCACAGGTCCGACCATCTCTGTACTCACTGTTTTCGTTCAGGTTTTTCTACTAGTTGGTGAATAATCCACTTCTGTATAGTTCCTTTCAAAGCTCAGGGCTCCAGGATTATCTTCTGTATCTCTGTCAATTGGTTTTTCTTTTCTTTATTGAAGAGGGTCTGTGTACGTATTCCTTTATCTTATTGGAAGTCCACTGCTGTCCACTATTAAGTGGTGCCTGCACATCACACACAACCATCTGTAAACCAGGTACGAATTTTCTCTTCCTCAGTCAACTGATCATGAAGGAACTCCCCATGACACCATAGGTGCCAACTGGGAGAGAAAAGGTAAAGTAACTCAAATGGAAACCACAGGTATCTGGGCCATTTCCTCATGCAACTTGTGCCTACAGGTACTGCTCAAGCACAATCTCTCATATATCAATTCCATTTAATGATGAAGTGCTGCTGTACACATCCAATTTTGTGACTGTGGATCAGACAACATCCAGTTCATGATGGGCAGCTCAGGCTGCATGGTGACTCAATGGCCCATGGCTAGGCATTCAGTCTCTCCTAAGGTCCAGTAACAAGACAAAAGCTGTTTCTCAAAAGCACAGTAGTTATCTAAAGAAGATGGCAGAGCTTTGCTTCAAAATCTTAAGGGTCTGCATTGTGATTCACTAACAGGAGTCTGCCAAAGACTCCAAACAACATCTTTATTTGTCACTGACACTTCAAAAGCACCACTGGATTAGCTGGATTTTATGGTCTAAGTGGCAGAGTAGCTTGCATGGCAGCCTGATCCTGTTGGAGCACCTCTCTTGTTCTGGACCAACCTCAAGACTAATAGCTTTTTGTGGCACTTGGTAGACAGGCTGGAGCAACACACCCAACTTGGTGTGGAACAAGGGATATCATTACTGATGTCAGATGGACCTTGGATGAAAGCAAGAATAACAAAAATATATTTATCTGTGTTTTAGTGACTATACAAAGGAATTTGACTGTGTGGATCATAACAAATTATGGATAGGATTGCAAAGAAAGGAAATTTCACAACACTTTAATTGTGCTTGTGAGGAACCTGTACATAGGCCAAGAGGCAGGAGTTCAAACAGAACAAGTGGATAGTGCATGGTTAAAAACCAGGAAGGGTGTGCATCAGGATTGTATCCTCTCACCATAATTACTGAATCTGTATGCTTAGCAACTAATCCAAGAAACTGGACTATATCAAGAAAAATGCAGCATCGGGATGGCAGGAAGACTCATTAACAACCTGAGCTATGCAGATGACACAACCTTGCTTAATGAAGACAAAGAAGAAGAAGACTTGAAGCACTTACTGATGAAGATCAAAGACTATAGATTTCAGTATAGATTACAACTCAACATAAAGCAAATAAAATCCTCACAACTGGACCAATAAACAATATCACAATAAATAGACAAAGACTGAAGTTGTCAAGGATTTGATTTAACTTGGATGCACAATCAACACCCATGGAAGCAGCAGTCAAGAAGTCAATGTATTACTGCATTGGGCAAATCTGCTGAAATTTCTGTATAGTGTTAAAGAGCAAAGATGTCTCTTTGAACATTAAGGTGTGCCTGACCCAAACCATAGCATTTTCAATAGCCTTATATGCATGTGATAGCTGGACAATGAATAAGGAAGACTGCAGAAGAACTGATACAGTCAAATTGAGGCGCTGGCAAAGAATAGTGAAAATACTATGGACTGCCAAAAGAACAAACAAATCTCTCTTTGAAGAAGTCCAGCCAGAAGAAAAAATTACCACACTTCATCTAATGTAGTTTGGCCATATTTTCAGAAGGTGCCAATACGTGAAGAAGGATATTAAGCTTGAGAATGTAGAAATTTCACATAAAAGTGGAAGACCTTCAATGAGAGGGATTGACAGAATGGCTATAATAGGCTCAAGCAGAGAAAAAATTGTGATGATGGAGCAAGACCAGGCAGTGTTTTATTCTGCTGTACAACTGTAAGTCAGAACCAAAGGCAACACCTAACAACAACTGTATACCCAAATGAGGTAAATGTTGCCTCCAAAATCCAGAGAGGCCCACCAGGTGTACCTCTTTTTTAACTGAAGGAGGGGCCGTATGCAATAACTTAACATTCACTTTAGTAGGGATATCTGGCAATGCCCCACACCATTGGACCTCTAGAAATTTCACTGAGGTGCAAGGCACCTGAATTTTTGTTGGGTTAATTTTCCACCCTGTAGTACACAAATGGGAGCTCTGGTGGCATAGTGCCTAAGCCATGTGACTGCTAACCAGAAGGCTAGCAGTTCAAATCCACCAGCCACTCCATGGAAGAAAAACTGTGCAATCTACTTCCATACTGATACTGTCTTGGAAACCCAAGGAGGGGTCGCTATGAGTCAGGACTGACTCAATGGCAGTGAGTTTGGTTTTATGGTTTAGCACACAAATATCTTACCAATAAATCAAGAATCACTGATACTTTTTCTAGGTCCAATCTGCCTAATGTCATCAATGTAATGGACCAGGGTAACATCTTATGGAAGAGAAAGAAGATCAGGGTCCCTCTGCCCCAAATCATAACATAGTTCTAGAGAGTTGATATACTTGAGGGAGGATGTATGAAGGTGTATTGCTGGCCTTGACAGCTGAAGGTAAACTGCTTCTGGTGATCCTTCGAAACCAGAATTGAGAAAAAGGCATTGGCCAGAACAATAACCGCATACCAGGTACCAGGAGATATATTAACTTGCTCACGCAATGAAACCACATCTGGAATAGCAGCTGCAATTGTTGCCCACCTGGTTCAGTTTACAATAATCCACCGTCACTCTTCAAGATGATCCATTTTTTGCACAGGCAAAATAGGAAAGTTAAATGGGGAGGTAGTGGGAATCACCACCCCTGCATCATTCAAGTCCTTGATGGTGGCACTAATCTCTGCAATCCCTCCAGGAATGTGATACTGCTTTTGGTTTACTATTTTCCTAGGTAAGGGCACTTCTAATACCTTCTACTTGGTTTTTCTTACCATAAAAGCATCTCCTAACTTGGGCAGTTGCTGGCTACTGATACTGACAAACCCAAGGTCACCAGGGAAAATGGCACAATCCTAAGATCAGCAGTCAGCATTCAGAATGTTGAAAGTACCATGGACTGCTAAAAGAACTAACAGATCTGTCCTGGAGAAAGTGCACCCGAAATGCTCCTTGGAAGCGAGAATGGCCAGACTTCGTCTCACCTACTTTCGTCATGTTGTTAGAAGGGGCCATTCCCTGGAGAAGGATGTCATGCTTGGTAAGCTGGAGGGTCAACAAAAGAGAGGAAGGCCTTTAACAAGATGGATTGACAAGGTGGCTGTGACAATGGGCTCAAGTATGGCAAGAATCATGAAGCTGGCGCAGGTTTGGGTGGTGTTTCGTTCTGCTGTGCATGGGGTCGCTATAAGTCGGAAACGACTCAATGGCACATAACAACAACAAGATCAGCAGGTAACACAGCAGATCACTGGTTCAAGCCCGGGAACTGGAGATGAAGACAGCCAAATAAAGGATCCAAATGAGCCAAAATCCTAGAGACTGTTCTCAAAGTTTCTCCATATATACTAGAAGCAGTCCACACCCCAAAGGCAACTCATCACTGCTGGCAGCAGTTTCCACCATGGACTTGATTACACCACATCCAATCTCATGAGGAATAACTGTATCTAGCTCCCAAGCCACTCAAAACTACGGCCCAACCAAGCTGACACACAACTTTAACTACCACACTTACACTCATATACTTCCTAGCTCTTCCCACTTTGAGGAGCTAGTAGCAATAAGCATACTTAATGTCCAGATCTTTGTTTCCACACATCATTCTCTAATAAAAGGAAACAGGGTTTCCTGGAGAAAAGTGTGATTTTAGGGCTCAAGGAGTGAAAAGAAATAATGAACTTTGAAAGTTGCCAGAAAATAATGTATAAATTATCAGAGGATATTAAACAAACAAACAAACAAAAACAGGAACCAACTTAAAGGAGCTTCTAATAACCAATTCTGGAACAATTTTAAGAAGAAAAGTAATAAGGATTAGCATACACTGGTATGCTAATTACTTTATTAAATAAATAAAGACAAGGGAAAGCTTTTCCTTGCAGGATTCCAATTAATAAAATATAGCAAAAATGACTAGAACCAAAAATATCATTTGGTAATTAAAACAGACGTAATAATAGATAGTAACTATTAATTATAAATAATTATCAAATACTAAAATTAGTAGACTAAAATGATATAAAACAGTATTTCCATATTCTGAAACTTACTTACCCTTACTTACCTTTGGAGAAACTTACTAATATAGGGGTAAAATAGCTATCTTTACAATAGAAAAGAATGTAAGGAAATGTGATAAATTGGGAAACAAAACAAAGCACTTTTAAACCAAGTATAAGATCTGTGCATTTTATTGAATGCAAAATAACATTAATGAAACATTTTTTAAAAAATGCAAAGCCACATCTTCCTCAAGGCTATTCTCTGCAGCCTTGCTTGTAATACAAAGAGACTTTCAGAAAGGTAAAATTTAGCTTTGACTGAGAAAATAACAAACACTGATCAGGACAGCCCCACAGTTACAATGAAACTTTGCCCAAAGACACAAAGTAGCTCTAATAAACCTGTTTGTTAGTATCATTTTCTTACTCATTGAGTACCTTTCTTCTTTAATCCTAGACTTTGAGAAATCTGATGTTTGAAATTAAAATAGTAAGAATGAAACACCCCACTTCTGAAGTAGGCTCTCCACTGTGAGGTTTTATATGTGAAGTTAGTTGTAAGGAACAACTCTAGGCCTTCCCACATTCCTTACATTCATAAAGTCTCTGCACTGTAAGTTCTTACATGAATAGTGAAGTCTGATGACTGACTAAATGCTTTCCCACATTCTTTACGTACATATGGTCTCTCTCCAGTGAGTTCGCATATGTGTAGTGAGGGCTGAAAAATAACTAAAGGCCTTCCCACATTGATTACAGTCATAAGGTTTAACTCCACTGTGAGTTTTCATATGTTTAGTGAGAGATGAGGCCCGACTAAAGGCTTTTCCACATTGCTTACATTCATAGGGCCTCTCTCCAGTGTGAGTTCTAATGTGTGCAGTGAGGGCTGAGAAAGACCTAAAGGCTTTCCCACATCCCATACATTCATAAGGCTTCTCTCCACTGTGAGTTCTAATATGTTCAGTGAGATGTGAGGAACACCTAAAGGCTTTCCCACATTCCTTACATTCAAAAGGCCTTTCTCCACTGTGAGTTCTTATATGTGTAGTGAGGTTTGATGGTTGACTAAAGGCTTTCCCACATTCCTTACATTTATAAGGCCTCTCTCCACTGTGACTTCTTATATGTGTAGTAAGGTTTGATGATTGACTAAAAGCTTTCCCACATTCCTTACATTCATAAGGCTTCTCTCCACTGTGACTTCTTATATGTTGAGTGAGAGCGGAGGCCTCACAAAAGGCTTTACCACATTCCTTACACTGGTAAGGCCTCTCTCCACTGTGAGTTTTTATATGTTTAGAGAGATGTGAGGAACACCTGAAGGCTTTCCCACATTCCTTACATTTAAAAGGCCTCTCTCCACTGTGAGTTCTTATATGAGTAGTGAGGTTTGATGACTGGCTAAAGGTTTTCCCACATTCCCTACATTGATAAGGCTTCTCTCCACTGTGAGTTCTTAAATGTTCAATGAGTTGTGAAGAACACATAAAGGCTTTACCACATTGCTGACATTCATAAGGCTTCTCTCCACTGTGAGTTTTTATATGTTTAGTGAGGTGTGAGGAACACCTAAAGGCTTTCCCACATTCCTTACATTCATAAGGCTTCTCTCCACTGTGAGTTCTTATATGTTCAAGGAGGTGTGAAGAACACATAAAGGCTTTACCACACTCCTTACATTCATAAGGCCTCTCTCCACTGTGAGTTTTCATATGCTTAGTGAGGTGTGAGGAACACCGAAAGGCTTTCCCACATTCGCTACATTCATAAGGTTTATCTCTGTTATTTTTACATAAAATAAGGGATGAAGGATGACTATAGGTTTCACAACATTCTTTACATTTAGGTTTATGATTTCTCATATACATCCAAAAGGATGAGAAACTACAGTAATCTTCCCCACATTTATTACATTCATAGCATTTCTCACCAGTGAGTGCTGTCACAGAATTCTTAAACTTTGAGATACAAATGAAGTCCTTCCCACAGTCCTTACATTTATAAGGTTTCTTTCCATGAAGACTTCTCAGAGGAGTGGTTAGATCACAGGGGCAAGTGCAGGTTTCTCCACATATCTTACACTGATAGGGACTGCATCCAGTATGAGATGTGGAGTGATGGTTATGTAATGAGTCATCCATGAAAGCTTTCCCACACACACAGCATTGAAAGGGACATACTTCTGAAGGATTTCTTTTCAGCACAGTAAGATCTGAAATGTGGCTGAAGTTTTTCCCATATTGATTGCCTTCATTGCTTGTACAGAGGTTCTCTAATGTATGACTTCTGTTAAAAATAGGTAACACACAGGGAAAAGGTAACTATGGAGAGGAAGTAGGAAGAGAGCTGTTACACTGGGAAACTGCTGTTAGTGTCGTAAGACAAAATATGTATGAACTGCTGTATGGAAAATAAATTTGCTCTGTAAACTTTTACCCAAATCACAATAAAAATTAAAGGAAAAAAAAAACAAAGAATAGATTTATACACACAAACACACACAAAAAAAGGCAACATACTGTAGGAAATAAATTTGTTCCCATTTCACCATTACCAAACACTGTGAATGTGCATGGTTTGTGCCCTGACTAGTCTCATGTTTCACAGGTTCAATCATCTAACATAAATACTACTATTAATGTCAGTTTTTCTAAAATATGTGGCTTTTTGATAATTGTGGCCACATGAAATGTTTCAAATACTCAATAACTGACTCACGTCTACAAAAATGTTGTATTTTGAAAATTTTCTGAACACATTTAATTTTACAGCTATATTTATATATATTGCTGGTAGGTGCTATCAAGTTGGATCTGACTCATAGCAACCTTATGTACAAAAGAATGAAACATTGCCCAGTTCTGCACCATCCATCTCACTGAGGATCTTCCTCTTTTTTAGTAACCCTATAATTTACCAAGCATTATGTATATAAACCTGTATGCATTACACATATAAGTATATAATGTCATGACACCTTAAGACTTTCTCCTAAGGCATTACTTGCCCTTAGTGACACTCACCTCAAATGTCTCTTCTGGTTTTTATGGTGATCTTCATTGCCATAAGATTCAGGGATTTCTCTTAACATGGAGGACCACATTTTATTCTTCACGAATCGCACCATTATATGTTCATAGCGTAACTTTTCTCCATCATTAAGATTTCCAGAGACTGATCCAATAATTCAAGTTGAGGGATACAAAACAAAAAAGGAAAGAATTTATTAAAAGAAAAAACATTTAGCCAGAATTTGCAGTTTTAGCACTTTGGCAATGGGTAAAAGGCAATTTACTAAGAAATGCATCTCTGAAGACTGAGAGTGACATTGACATACATAGGTATAATTAAGAAAGTTAAGTAGAAATATATGGAACACAATACACATGTAAAAGTAAAAGAAGAAAAGGGTCTCCATGACTATATGTGTGAGAGGATTACTAAAGTCAGTAAAGTTAACAAAGTTTCAGTAAACTTGTACCCCCATCCAAAAGGGACTTTTTCTAGCTGACTGATTCAAATATAATTCCCTCTATGCAGGGCTAGTCCTTAAAAAAAAATTCTTGCTCTTCTGGTGCCCCCTGGGACAGTGTCCCTGGTTGAGTCCTATCTCCATTGTCATTGCTTCTCTATGAATAAAAAGTGTGTATAGCTGACATGGTGATCATGAAGAAATGCCTATCATCAGGAATGACAATGCACAGCAATGAACATTTCCTGACACTGAGCCAATACTTTCCTCTTCAGTGTCCAAGAAAATGGACAGGTTTGAGTTTATATGCAGCAAAACAATTACAGCAAACTTGTAATAAATACAGTTTAACTCCATAGAAGGTCTCAAAACAAATCTCTCAGTGTCCCAAGGTGACTGCTGAAGCCAGTGCTTATAGTTATAATACTGAGAGCCTCAGGGTGTTGAGTCACTAAATGAAATAAAAACCAACTTTAATACACAGAGCTTTATGTTCATGCGGAAGCCAGGACATATAATAAGCTCCATAGGCCAAGGGATCATGCCTCTTTTATTTCACAATTTATTCTGATTCCTCAGCACAAATACTGGAACAAAGTTGATGAATAAACTATTTTTGCTGACTAAAGGAATTTTTTTTTTTTTAAAAAAGATGCCATTCTTACCTACTGATGCCAAGTTTCTGAAGATTTCCATCATCACATCTCTGTAGAGTTTCCTCTGAGCAAAATCCAGCAAAGCCCACTCTTCCTGGCTGAAGACTATGGCCACATCCTCTATGAGCACTGAGTCCTAAAACATACCACACATTCTAGATCACCAAGGTACTATGTATGACAAATGTGTGTAAGAACAAAGAATGAGGCTGACAGTCTTGGAACCAAGAATGTATAGGGATTTGATACAAGGTTCTGTGTTCTCCCAAAGTCTATTGCAATAGCATAGCTTTATGCCTTCACTAACTACATTCACTTCCTTACTGATTCCATCCTGACAGACTTCCAACATGCTAAAATAATCTCTCCACAGTTTGACTGTGACCAATTGTAGTCGTTTGACTGTGAGCAATTGCAGTCTTACTCCTCTCTAGGTCTAGGAAAGTTAGAAAATAGCAGAAATCAGAGAAATGCTTTAATTCAGATGATCACCTTTTGTGACCAACAATTTCACCTCCTTCTAAAAGACCTACAAGAACACTCAACAAAACATTAAAGTACAGGGTGAAGATAATATGAGGTATTAGCAACTGGGAGCTCTGGTAGCATAGTGCCTAAGGCACTTGACTGCTAACCAGGAGGCTGGTAGTTCAAACCCACCAGCCACTCCTCGGAAGGAAGATGGGGCAATCTACTTCCACAGTGATACTGCCTCAGAAACCCAAGGAGGGGTCACTATGAGTCAGGTCTGACTCAATGGTACATAACAACAACAGCAACTGGGAAACATGGTAGACCGGGAGTGTTTTCTTTTACCCTTTACAGCCATGGGAAGATTAAAGGCCTGCACAAACTGACAACCCATGGCCCTAAGCTGCTCATGTTTTCTTGAACTCTAGATCAGAAGGTGACATGTCCACCTGCTAAAAAAAGAGTTGTTGTTTTAGAGAATTATGATTTTTCATATATCGGTCACCTATTTTTCAAAATCCCATTTGTTCTGTCATCTTGTCTAGCCTTTCATAGAGACAGGAAAAAGTAATAAAAGTTAAAAAGTGCTCAGGTGAGAAACAGGAAACATGACAATCCAGATCTCCTCACATTTCTCAAACTTCAAGACCTGGTACAACTATAAACCAATTATTAGTGACTGTTCTGCTCAACAAACATAAGCCCATAGACACTCTGACACAAACAAAATCTAATGCTGTAAGGTAACAAGAAGTGCTACATCTTCAGAAAAAAAGAATGGCATTGTCATTGTGTTTGCTGCCCCAAAAGAGGTTATGATTCCCATTCTGTAATAACTGCTGAAAATGATCACCATAATCAGTGTCACCAAGTTATACACATAAATACTGTTGAACTGGCAAATGTTCTGTTGTATTTAATTGTTACCACAGAAAAAATTAGTTCTGTAAGTAACTTGATGAGCATATATTTTACCTGTTAAGTTGCCCCTGAAGCCTAGGAAGCAGACTTACAAACAGCTGTCTAGAGGCCCCATTCCAAAATTCTCTCACATTTGCAGATCCTGGCAGGCACACTACCATGACCAACTGAATGCTGACAAATGGAATTTCCTGGTCTGTAAGAATAACTCCTATGAAACAGCATGAATCAACTGAAGTCCTCATGTAGTGAGGAGAAAAAGGCTGCTAACCTATACTTTGGGAGCTCAAAGAAAGCAGCTTCAGAGTGAGAAGACTCCTCTTGTCAAGGAAGGGGTGAAGAGAGCTATCTATGTCATCTCTAATCAACCCTGGTACAATGGTATCACAACAACCTTTTATCTTAGAGCCAAAATGAAAACATCATCTCCACTACACTGGGACTGATCATATATTTTTAAGTCATCAAAAACCCTTATACAATATTATTGTTGTTATGTGCCATCAAGTTGGACCCGATTCATAGCGACCGCTCCTTAGGTTTCCAAGGCGGTATCACTATGGAAGTAGATTGCCCAACCTTCCTTCCGAGGTGTGGCTGGTGGTTTGAACCGCCAACCTCCTGGTTAGCAGTCAAGTGCCTTAGGCACTACACTACCAGAGCTCCTTATTACACAATATACTCATTAAAAAAAACTCACTGCCATTGAGTCAATTCTGACTCAGAGCAATCCACATCGGTTTTCCAAAGCTGTAAATCTTGATGGAAGGAGAATGCCTCATCTTTCTTCCAGGAAGCAGCTGGTGGGCTGGAACCACCAACTTTTTGGTTAGCAGCCAAATGCCTATATCACCCAGAGCTCCAATGTAGTAATGATACTGGAAGAAGAGTGTCATGAATTGATTTATGTCCCCTGACCCTACAGCCCCCCTACATTAAAAAAAAAAAAAAAATGCTGTAAAAACCTAACCCCATTCTTGTGGTTATAATCCCATTTGGGAACGGTTTTATTATGTTACTGACATAGTATTACAGTATTAATGTAGGGTATTTCTTTTGAGATACAAAAGAAGATTAAGCAAGTAGCAAGAAAGCAGAGATGGGGGAAGATAGATGCCATGGCACATGAAGATGGTAAAGAAGCCAAGGAAGAAGATTCTATAAAGAGATAAGGACCTTCTTCTAGAGCCTACAGAGAGAGAAAGCTTTCCGCTAGTGCCAGCACCTGAATTCTCACTTCCAGCCTCCAAAACTGTGAGAAAATAAATTTGTTTGTAAAAGCCATCCACTTGTAGTACTTCCTTTATAGCAGCACTAGAAAACTAAGACAGAATCATAACCTACAAGGGAGTACATTTTACGGAGAGAATGCAGAAGTTACTTACAGTATGTTCACATAAAAATGAGAATATGATGTCAAAGAGAAGGCATAAAAACAGTACACTTACTCCTAACTTATTGACTGTCTTGTTACAGGAAATTTAGCATTCACAACAATAGTAAAAAATCTACTATCAGACTATTTTGTGCATGATTGTGTACGTCTGCCAGTAATGAACAGCAAGGTGGGAGGCAAGAATAATGCTAGTTGTGATGATTTAGGTTATATATCAACTTGGTTGGCCTATGACTCAGTGGTCTGACAGTTATGTAATGATGTAATCAAGTTCTATTTCGGGATATTAAGGTCAAGCTCCATTTTCTCATGATGTTGATTTTTGCATAATGTCCTGTTCTTCGGAACCTAACCATGGGGACAAGGGAAGAGTGGGTTTATATTCTTTTTTTTTTTTTTT